CAAAGGTAATGCATGTGATTAGCGAACGGCATGAGACACCCTAATCAGGGATAGGGACAGCCTATCGTCGATTAGGGGCTCGATTAAAGTGAGCAGACGGGGGCGACACAGAACGAGCAATCGAAAAGAACATGGGCGGTAGACGGCGGGCGGCGACAAGAGGAGGCCGGCGCGGCGAGCGAGGTGGCCTGAGACGGGACAGGGGCGCTGGGCCGGGCCGCGCCGAGATAGCGCACGACAAACAGAGGGGATGGAGCGGAGGGGAGGGGAGAGAGAGAGGAAACACGAGGGGTGACACAGTCGGCGACGCGAGCGCGGAGGTGAAGGAGGGTGTAGAGAACGCGTCGGAGTGACAGACGGCGAGAACGGAAAAGTAACCCACCCTCCATCCCCAATTTATTGTTACGTTGATGATGATGATGACTATTATTATTATTTTTTATTATTGTTATTATTATTCTTACTATTATTAGGTAACGCATCCTAGCATCATTCGTCGTCGGCCCGTATTGTTACCGCTCAGGACACGAGCGGTTATACGAGTCGGGTGCAGACGGCCATCAACAGCCAAAGGTAATGCATGTGATTAGCGAACGGCATGAGACACCCTAAACCATTATTCGTTCCCAACCAATTACCGGTCCGCAGGATCGGTATTACATAGTCTGCTCTCCTCCCACCAGAGCACAATTTGTTCCAGTCTGCTCTCCTCCCACCAGAGCACAATTTGTTCCATATCTCCGTTCATCACGTCCCAGCCACCATGAACAAATACTGGGACCGGCGGGCGCCCCAGCGAACAGTGGGAAGTCGTGATTTGCGTCCCACCAGCGGGACAAGGGAGCAGCACTCAGCAGGGAAGAGACTACGGGTGGGACGCCGCCCTTAGAACCGTTGGTGATTCAAACAGTTTCGGCGAACTTCGCTGCACAAGGAGGGTGGATGGAGGGGAGTTTTTGCCCTTCAAACTGCTTCAGTTTCACGCCACGTCACGCGGAAGGGAGGGTGCCAACGGCCGCGAGGGAGGGGAGCGCTTTTTGTTCCAGCAGGGGAGCGGGGGGGAGGGGGAGGGGGGCGAGGTAAGCCAGTTTGGACCGCTGTTGCCACGCGAACCGCCGGACGCTTCGGACCAAATTTGGGTACCTATTCAGTGGCAAGCAAATGGAAAATCTGGTACAATTTACGGCATAATGACAGAGTCGGGTGGTCAATGAATATAACGCTCACGTTGTGAAATCCAAAGAGGCGCTGTCCCAATATTTGATAACTAAAAAGCGATACAGTATCTATACATTTGATTGACTGACCACGCCATGAATGCACCAACGACTGTTTGACTTAACGTTCACGTTATCTCAGGGTTTGATGTTTGTATATTTGTTCATGAACAGTTCGTGAACAATGTTTGTTTGTTTATTTGATAGTTTACGAATTTTAGCATTCCAGGTCACATGTTCACCAACGATTCTCTGTTCACGAACAGTTCGTGAACGTTCATGAACGTTCATGAACAAGTCATCATTTCTTATATCTTTCTAGCAATTGTTATCATACGGTGCATACACGACTGCAGACATGTTTTACATGTGAAAAATGCACCAGTCATATCTCAAGCACATGGAATCGTGATTCATAATTATTCTTGCAACGCATGAGGCTTAAATTGTGCATTTAAGACCTTGCATGACGTCATATAAGACGCTACTAAGGTTGTTTGGTGCAGTAAGGAGCTTTTCGCTAATAACTTCCGATCAAATTGAGCTAGCGAGTCGGTTGAGCCATCACTTAACTCAGAAAGAACTGCCACATCGAATGATATGCAGCATGACATCCTCCATGCAGCTTTGTGACCCGAGTGGCTTTGACCTGACCTTGACCTGAGGTCAACATCCTAAAAAGACCTAATCCAAACAAAAAGTATATCATTCGACGCGCCTGGCCACGACGAGCACGATGGTGCCACAATCGCGGCTCTACCCCCATTTGTGGCGAAGTTATTTACCAAAAACCAAACCCCTAATTTATGACACTTGACCTGACCTCCAGGGGTCACCGGTTGGTGCAAGACATTGAAATCAGATACCAATCTCTTTGGTTCGTAAAGACGCACACGCTGGCTTTTTCCGCAAGGTTCTATCTCAATTAGGAGCGAAATGACTAGGGAGGGGGTCTTATCTACCCCCTCTTTATGGTGTTCGCGAACAGTTCATGAACGTTCGCGAACTGTTCGTTGTTTGTTTACCAAAATTTGACCGATGACGTCACTTGTTCGCGAACACATTTGTTCGTGAACAGTTTGTTTATGTTTGTTTATTTGAAAAAATAAACAAACACCAAACCCTGCGTTATCTTGTTTACTTTTTTTAATCTCATCTACAACAAACAATCCTTGTTGAAATCAAGAGACCCTTCAATTCATCGATTTCGCAATTTTCCTGCGCCGAGCTCAGAGCTGCATACCAAATTATTCCACGATACAAATTCAAACTGAAATTAAACCTTATCATCCTTGTCATATCAAGCCCATAATTTCGTTTCGGCCAAGCCACGGACATGGCCTGCGCCTCATTTCTACTTTGTCGAGATTCCTCCTGTTACTGCGCGGCTCAGCCAGCAAGGACCAGGGCCGGCAGCCGGGCCCTGGCCTGACCACTGAGCTGCCTTTGACGTCAGAGCTCATCGACCCAGGCTCAGCCCCCGGCCGGGACCACACGATAGGCGAGCGGCGCCCCAGCGGCAGCATCAAACGGATTCTCACTGCAGATATTTCCAGCTCCAGAGCCGGAGGCGGAGGTCAGTGTGGGACCGTGCAATCACGGACATTGTGAGCGGAAGGGAAAGAGCGAGAATCGTATGTCGGAAGTGTTAGGCCATTAAAGAGCCTAACCCAGAACGGAAATTAACTGACCGAACAGGCCAGGTGCGAATCAGAGCTGACAACAAAACAAAGGCACGTACAGCAAAAATGACGTGAGGCTGAAATCAGGTCTCAAGGCCATGCTCGGTCGTGTAGGCGGCTTTCCAAAGGCTGACTGGAATGCACTGTTGTGGGATCAACACCAAGGCTGAACCGAACTAAAACGCTGCCTCAACCGGAGATGTTTTGTGGATGTTTGTCACGACCGGGGAAAGTTAACCGGTCCCGTAGTTCAAATGCTGCGAGTCAATTAGGCAACCGGCGAGGAGTCTCAGCGCGGAAGTTCACATTTTCAAGCGTTTACTAGCGGAGAAAACTGGAAACTGATGCAGCACGAGGCGCAAGCAAGCTTTTCAATGCCTGATGACTGAATGAAAAAGCACCAGCCGTAACATGCAACGAATCTACCAAATTCAGCAGTATCCATTGAACATTTGAGACATCACTAGCCCTTACGTCCAGCAAGGTCACCAACCAACTTTCAATATTCACATCAAACTGTTGGCAGCACCAGAGCGCCGCCAGGCCGTCCCCTATCTTCCACCACAGCGCCCGATCAGACACATTGCAGAGTCTGGCATCAACGTTTGCCGCCGCGGTATACACTGTCGGGTGTGGTCCGATAAATAAACACCGCCTATCACGCCCCGGGGGTCAGCCCGAGGCGGGCCACGCCCCCCGCTGAGCGGCCGTGACGTGGACAGGGGGGGGGGGGCTTGGTGTGGGGTGGTAGCCGAGGCAGACACAAATCGCATGGCATTATGCCCTATGCAGCTCTTCCAGTAGTTTGTTAGAGAATATCTATTCTGTAAGCACGAAGCCTCTAGAGAGTCTGAGAAGCTATACTCCCAGTGGTATTATCAGCCGAATAGCTTTATAAGCCGTGAATTAGAATCATTTTGAGTAGACAATTTCAACAAATGGATGACATTTTGTCAGCCTGATGAAGCCATACATATCTGTACAAACGTAAGTCATTGAAATTCAACCCACAGATCCATATAATTCATCCCAAAGTTCCCACATTGATTCAGTGGGAGTTGGCCAAGGCGGCAGCGTTTTTGCCACGCAGAGCCGCCACTGCTCCGAGCAGTGAGCGCGGGCCGGCCGGATGGGCTCGAGTGAATGGGGCCCGCCGGGCCAGTCACGAGTGTGGACTTTGTACCGGCGAGAGCCCAGTCGCACACAACGGCGGAAGAGCGGACGGCGGTCTCTGAAGGAAGGCTACAATGCGCGCTGTGTGCTATTACGACAGCTTCTGGAGGACAGAGACTGAAGCCTTGTGAAGTTGGTTTACAAACACATGAACCATGGAAACAATATCGCCACAGAAAAAGAATACTTCCACGAAATGTTTGACCCGCCATGGGTCATGGGACGGCCCCTCGGCACTGAGTTTAGTCTGTCATTGGGGCACCCCTCGACCGGTCTTCATCTGGAGATACCGTTAGCCGTACCGTTCACAGCATTCGTCAAACAGCCAAACTGGGCGCTATCTTACAGTAATATCAGGCTCCAAGGCATGGACCCATTGCATCAGAAATAGCAACGGGAGATACCCATCAATACACCGCTAAACAACGATCAACTTCGACAGAATGCTGAACGTCAAGAGTTAAAGGAGCGAGAGGCTCTAACTAAACAGTGACCATCTCTTGGGCGAGATGACAATGCAATGTCTGTCAACGCTGGCTTTAGATGACGTCAGGGAGTTGACTGATCGTATACCAACGGTCAATCACAGGAGCGAAAATATACAAAGCGAACGTCACCACTGAACAGTTCTGGTAGTGGAAAGCCTGGACCACACAAAATCTTCGAGCTGCGATAGCCGATGGAGACGACTTTTGAAGCGAGTGGTCGAGAAGCAGCAAAATAATCCAACAAAAGTACGCCGAACTAGAATACGAATTTGAGCCTCAAATCCCTTCAGTCGCGGATTTAGCCGAAGCCTATAAGCTTTGCATTACATTACGACGGTAACTGGACCATATTGTGACCTCAAGCCCCGCGGCAGTAGCACCACGTGACCTCTGACCCCACCCTCACCCACACCACGTGACCTCTCCCCCAGAAGACTCACCGGACTGGATGACATCGAGCAGGGTCGAGCCGAACGAGGTCTTCTTGTTCTTGAGGCTGTCGTAGACCTCCTTGGTGAGGTACTTCTTCAGCAGCGACTTGCAGTCGGTGGCAGCCTGCAGCTTCTGGAAGCCGGCGTCCAGCTTCTGCATGGTGGCGGCGTCGACCATGTTGGACGATTTGGCGGCGGACTTGGAGTCTTTGGGCGGGCTCTGCGTGCTCTGCAGGCTGGAAACAGCGGGCGAGAAGTTAGGTTAGATCGGCTGATAAAATAGAGTAAAACGGGGGGGGGGGGGGGCGAAGGCGTGGCTAGAGGAGAAAACAGAAGCTTGTTACAGAAATTACAGAGGGATACACTGTGCAATAATTGTAGGAAAAGACAAAATGCACAAGACACAGACATCACGAGTTTTTAACAGCGTGAAACATTGAACACATCAGTCTAAGGCCTAAGCTCAACAGCTCCGCAACGTTGCGGACAGCCTCCATTGACCAGTAAATTTCCAACATAATAAACAGGACTCCTCCATTTCAACAGTGGAAAACTACAAAACCATTCCATGCAAAAGTCATCGGCATCCGACGAGCGCCCGGTTAGTTGCCATGGCAACGGTGGCGGCCGCGGCCGATCCGCCCCTGCCCGTCAACAGCGCCGGGCGGCGGGCGGGCGGACGCTCGGATGGGGAAAACGGTCGGGAACTTCGTCTGATGCAACTACGTGACGGCGTGCGGTGTCCGCCACGTCAGCAGTCACGGGCGTACCTGGCTAGTGACGGCCGCAGGGGCGGGACGCCGCCGGTAAAGGACAGATACGCTACTCGGACCGGCAGAGAGGAAGAACCGAGGCTTCTACCGCCGCGGGCGGGGCTCGATAGAGGTCAAGGTCGGGATCGCCTTCGATCGGGCCGGAGCGCCAACCACGCGCAGACGACCAGCGCAGACAGCGCAGCGAGCGGGCTATAATAAAATACCGACTGGTGCCTCATTTACAGAGGTTTCAACTTACAGCACAATAATTGTGAACGGGAATACAAACTAGGGAGAGGGGGTGGCACGCTCAAATCCCGACTGAAAGAGGGATCTAGTACCTACTCCGTGAAACCCCGACAGGCAGGGCAAAGGAGACTGAGGCCATTTCTGCCCAGTTATCAAATCCCCAACTCCATTATTTTTCACTGCTTATTTCTACAAAGCCAACGCCCATTCCAGTTAAAATTATTCAGCCCTAACGAAAATTTGTTCCCTATTCAGTGTTCAGCCTACCTCAATGATTTGGCAGAAACAATTAAACTATCACCGGAGCCCCTCTCGAATGACCTCTGGACCCTTTAGAGCCCCACCCACCCTCTCTGAAGCCCCACCCTCCAGACACGAACGCTACCTGCTCGGTTCCCGGACGCAAGTGAGGCCGGTCCCCGGGCTCAACGCACGGACGCCGGCTAGGGGGCGTGACGTCACAGGAAGTTAGTTCACCGATCGACCGCTAGGCGCCGCCACCATGCACAGGCACGAGGCTGCGCGAGGGGCGGCGCCCTCGCGTATCGGAGGACCATGGGGGAGGGCGTGGCAACAGGGGGAGGGGAGGACAAGACTAGAGATGCCAATCGGATACCAACTTTTTGTTATACCGATACCAAACCGATACCAACTTGGTATTTGGTATTTCAATCCTAATGTGTTTGGTATTTTGTTGGTATTATGAACCCTTACTAATGAAGAAATTGGTAAAAAGTTGGTATTTCCCTCATCTTTCAAAGTTGGTTCGGTTTCGGTATTTCCACACGGTTTTGGTTGGTATTTGGTTTAGTATCGGTATTCCGATTTTCTGTAATTGACATCACTAGACAAGACAGACTAGAAAGATGGAGGAAACGATGAAATAGCGGTACAAAATGTAACAACCGTCGGGTACAACATGTTGCACATTTCGTGTTGAAAAAAAATACAAACAAATAATGGTTGCTAGCCACCGGGGCAATATTAGTCTCAGGGGCGGATCTTGGCGCCTAGGGACTAGGGCTCCACCGTCCTCAAATAATAAGGGAACATTTAGGCTTTAGCCCCGGATACCGAAATCCCCATCGCTGATCAAGGCTTGCACACTACACAATCATCGGCAAAGGCCACTCTGGCCTTCCTCGCCCAGCTTTGTAATTTGTACGGGGAAGTGACCCAAGATTCTCACAGATAGGACTGAAAACTACGGACGGTAAGGTGACCCAAAAACAAAGCTGTTGGTCGGTGAGTTTTCGACAACGCGTAAGGTGATTATAACTCATCGCAGGACACATTGGTGATTATCAGTAACTGTAACGGGGTTTATGAGAGCGTTTGACACATCAGGGGCCTTTTGGGCTTTGCCTCTGAACTACGGGCCTTCCGGGGTCAATTACCCGTAAGAGGGGGGGGGGGGTGGCGGCCGGCGGGGGGAGCACTGAGCAGGGAATAGGGATGCATTGCGGAACTATTTCACCTTTCTTTTTATCAACTAGGCATGTAACGAATCCAGGTACAGATATTCTTAGAACCACCTAAATAGTTTAATGAAGCGACATGAAGAAGCCCTCGGCCACGGTTTACGCATTGCGCAATGCGCATACCTACCTATCGCGAAAAGCCACCCGCGTAACTACACATCTTCAATCCGCGATGAACTGCAATCCATATCGTTGTGCAATTCTCACAGTATGAATTTGCAGACTAAATAAAATTTGTAAAACAAGTTCCCAACCAATTCCCAACCACCAAATACAAACCTCAAAATTCCGCGAGGATTGTGACACTGCGCCATTTTGCAGAGCAATCAGTTTCGCTGGGACGAAAAATAAATTGAAGACTGGTCGCAAGAGCTATGCTGACATGGAATCAGTAGCAGTTCACGAAGAAAATAGCTTTGAAAATGAGAAGGAAATCACAATTGTTAAAATGCATTAAGTTTTCAAGAATAAATCTTGCGATGACCCAGATGAAATCACACGCCTTCTTGGCCGTCAACAGCGGCACCGGAAGGAAAGTTGATAGAGAAGGCGCCAGTTTTGACTCGCAAAAAGAGTTGTAAAAGCCGTAAAAGCCGAATAGGATAAAAATCTTAGAAAAATAAAATGAATTGACATTTAACCCTATTTTATCAAGTATATTTCTATAGATAAATTTGCGCACAAATGCTTTCCAATCGTTTGTTTTTTAGCTGATAAGCTAAAATCGGAGTCTAAAAGTCGATTTGGTAGCCACAATTTTTCTTCTTTTGAAGGAAAGTCTCGAGGTAGCTTTCTTTTGAAAGTTTTCCTCGCCCACCCCGAACAACACAACAGTCCCGCGTTTCGTTGGCATCGGGCCGGTGACTAGCGGTGGATCCAGATTCCAGGGGCGTCCCAATTCAAATGCCCCCCCCCCCACAGCAAAAGGCAGCCGAGGGGGCCAGCGGGGGGGGGGGGGATACTGGCGGATCCAGAGCGGCGGTCTTCGACGCTGCGGCCCGGCATTCTTGTCATCGGCAAGAACGAAACTATTCCGTTTGTCAGATTTTGATTTATGTCAGATTTTGACAAGTCATGAATCTTTACATTGTATATTGAACTTTCTAAGGTCAACCATGATTATTGACCTCGCATATTCACACGCTGACCTCCGTGATATCCCAGCAGGCGGTGGGCCTCCCGGCCACCTTCCACGCGGTGGGGGGGGGGGGGGCATTTTTTTTGCTCCCCCTATCTCCGAAACAACTGGACGGATCCGGAAAATTCAAACTGTGTTCGATAGCCAGCTGTCAAATTTGTCGAAGAAAACCAAATTTCATTGACCTCGGGGTCACCGATGACGTCACAGGTCAGGTCAAAGATAAAATGTTTCACCGTTCACGGGTCTTCTAGGGAAAGCGCTATAACACCGAGTAAAACGCATTTTGTCGAAAGTCAGCGATAGGGCATCAGTTTTCTAGTACATATGTTGCTATTAGAGGTCACTGGTCATACCAGGTCAGGTCACAGGTTAGGTCACACCAAGGGTCACCAGTTCACCACATGACCCCAACTTTACTAAGGTTGTGCGATGCATGTTTTATGGCCAATTTTTCATTTCCAACTCAATGGTGTTGGTTATAAGACCATCAGGTACGGTTTAGGTCACTTTCTGGTGGAGGTCCGGTCAAGGTCCTTTGCCTGTCCCGTAGCTCAGTTGGTAGAGCATTGGACTCCCGGTAGTGAGAGCCCGGGTTCGAGACGCTCCGGCGCTCGATATTTGAGACTCCTGACGGGGATGGTCTGCGGTTGGTGGGAGCAGCCGCAGCCAGTTGAAGTCAGTTGAGTGGGACAGGCCGTGTCCGGCTTTGAAGGGCACGGTAAACTTTGGCATCTAAATTCTCCCGTTACCCGGAATGGCGCGATCGGACGCCGGTAGGGGTCGGGGTCTACGTAACAAGCTCAGCTTAGCGTGGGTTCTGGCTCTGTCAATCCGTCCATTCAAACATTCGAGCTAAATTTATTAAAAATAAAATAAAAAAAGGCGAGGTCAAAAAAGGTCAAATTTCAAAGTTGATAGTTTTGCATAAAATGGGTATTGATTCGATGCAGCTCGTCACGGGGAGTCTAATGGTGGTCTTTGTTTTGCGCTACGAGGTCTAGAATTGCTAAAAAGTGAGTGAAAATTTGACGTCATCAATTCTGAACAGTTTTTTCGCTATAACTTGGCCAAAAAAAGAGGTATCGATCTCAAATTTGGTATGTACAGGTCTCGCGGGTTTTAGCGGTAGGTTTAAACATTTTTCTGTATCTCTAAAGCTGTAGGCTTGACAGCTCTTCCCGCGAAACCTTTTCTTTGGGTCGAAAATGGCAGAAATGACGTCACTCTGACGTCATTAGCGGCCAACCTATGAAAAACCAGCCTATGTGGGGGGGGGGGGGGCAAAAATGCCCCCCACCGCTTGGAAGGATATGAGCTGTGCTTTGTGGGGTTTCTTGAGGTCCTGAATCCGAAGCTGTGGTTCAGTTTTCACCTAAACGCCTTCAAAACTGTTCCTTGACCTTTACAAGGTCAACCCAGGTCAATTAGGTACGACCGTCCTCGCCGGCGGCGGGTGTGACCTCCCGTGTTCCCGGGAGTTACGTCACGCCAGTACTGACTGAAATGCAGTCAATACATCATTTTGTTGCTAATTCGTGGAGAAACACGGTCGTGAAAGTTTCATGTCGCTGGCTTTCATAGATTCGCCAATATTGGCTAGGTAACTTAAAAAATTATAGCTTTTCCCCGAAATTTTACCTTTGACCTGACATATTATCTGGATTAAATATTGACCTAGGGTACAAAATATACCACCAATCGCGAGCAATCGTTGAGAGCAATCGACTGATTTTTGTTGCGAAGCGCGCTGCGCTAAGACGCTTAGTTCCGAAACGCCAGGGGGGGGACGCATTGCCCCCCCTGTCAGTCCGCGTTATGAAAAATGCCCTGCCAGGGCGATGGTTAATATTTGGGGGTTTTGACGTGTGCGTTCAACCTTCAAAGCAGACATTTGTACCTTTTCTTCGCTGCTTTATAATGGTGATATCACAAAGGCCAGCCCGAAGTTACAGATACAAAAATCTGAGACAACTATCTAAGCTGAGACCTTTGTACAATAGGTCTACAGATTTTCAACTAACTTCTAAAAAACACTAACTTGACCTTGTGAGTGTGACCTCAGACCTGTCATTAGGTAACCTGGAGTATTTCATGCAATTCAAAATTGATGTTTTCTCTACACACGTAACAAACTGTTGTACAAACAAAAGCTCCCCCTCCTTCTCGATCACCGGGGCAAATGTTACGCAGCGTAGCTGCTTGAAGTATAGGTAGATGTCTACCTAATATCGGCCGATGTTCAATGTAATTGGTTCACAAAACACTGCACACCATCTTATTGCCCGTTTTATTCTTTCACACCTTGTTGTGAAAATGATGTTAACGAGAAAATGACAGGATCTGAGCTAGTCCCAGCATCATGCTGGTCGATTACACTCGACTGCAAATAAACATACAGACCAGTCATATATATAACGAGTTTCCATTCCAAGTCGTCAACTTCATTTTTTGCCTTCTTCGTGTCTTATTCCATTCACTCATCCCAAAGTCTTTTATCAGTCATCCCACACCAGCCTTAGGCATTCCTGAGCTTAGGAAGTAAATCGCATCTTATTCTAATGAGTTCGTTCAGCCTTCCACCACTGCCGCATCCGCAGGTTCTTCATCAGGACTTCCTTCGGTGGGCTGTGCCTGTGTTGGCTGCTCATCAGTGGGCGGCGCTGTCTCCTCGACTGGAGTCGTCTCCGTCTGTTCGGGAGCGGCACCGTCACATTCTTTGATAACGGCCGTGCATTCTTGAGGGGGTTGTGGTTGAGCATCCTCTTCATTCGCTCTTGGTGATTCCTTCTTTTTCTTTCCCCCTCCAAAGCACGCAAATATTGCGAAAACGTTCTTCTTTCCACCCATTTTTTAGAATTCAAAATATAGATAATGTTTTTAAAATATTTATCGCATAATTAACTGACCATGTATATATTTAATTCGGCGTCAACTACCGTTGCGTCTGATTGCGTCCTGCAGTTTTAATTTTATTCGTGCACGATTCAGCACGTGCTTTTCAAACATGGGTATTGCAGCCTAATTGCACAATGCACATACAATATTTTCGTTGGACGCTATTGGATAAAACTGGTATCCAATAAGCTCATAACAGTTTTATATTTGGCCTTTACTACAAAAGAATTTGGCCTACGGATTAAAATATTCGAGGGAAGTAGCTTAACGGCTATTATATAAACTTTCTTCGATACCTATTGTGATCATCATCAGAAAACATAAGGCTTATTGAGTTTTAATTTTCAATGAAATAAATATAACCACTTAAATGAGATATTTATTCGTTGTTAGGTAAATTAAATCATGACATTTAGATCAACAAAGAACCTTCTTTGTCATTGACATTATTTTTCGTTTCTTGGACCCATCCCCGCTTTTGCTGATTAAATTCCAAGTGCCTTTTGGAAGGTCTTGGAGGCATGACTTCATATCTTGACCCGGTGACCTGACCTCAGGTGACTTGGGCTATTTTTTACATACGACGTTAAATTGATGTTTTCTCCACACACGCGAAAAGCTTGCGTGTGCGGTGTGGCTACAAACGCCCCGTGACCAACCTGGAATAAACTATTTACACGATTTTGAGAATGAGACCTTTGCTTCATATTGTCCATCTTTCACGTGAATTATTACTATTTAGTGCTACATTGTCAAGTGTCACTGGTCACATACGTCCGCCCTGTCGTCCTATCAACTGGTTTGTTACTTCTGCACAGAAACCACCCAACAGCCTTGTAGGTGGCGCTGTCACTGCACGGTACACTTTTGTAGGTGGCGCTTGCTACACAAGAACCTCTGTCCGATCCCATGCCGAATGTTTACATATTGATATTCAGGCAATAGATACAGTCCACAGCAGAAGTAATGTGCGGTTTCAGTCATGGGTATGTTCTGCTTCTGAAGCTTAGGAACGATTAGCCAGACTGCAACGAGACTTTAAATGTAGCTTACATGTATCTTCACTCTTGCAGCTACAACTTTATCTATTGACGTCTTCTTTTCAATCAGTCCGCATTTAAAAATCGTCAGTCAAAGCCATCCGTTGAGATTGGTAAAACCACACATTACTTTAGCGGTGGGCTGTACAAAGCATTAGCAGCCAGCAATCAATCTTGCCTGACGAATGAGTGTCAACCAGTACCAACTCGCTGTCAGACTGAAGATAATGTTGATTAGGTTGCCATTGAAATCAAAGATAGACTTCCGGTACTCGGTAGGTAACACCCAGGACTAACACCGTACCTAAGCCTACCGACGTCGTTAATAATCCACACTACAGGGACAGCCGTCAGCCGCCGCACTCGATGTAATTAGCAATAACTACATATGCACTTTTCAAAGGGCATTTTTTTTTTAGGTGCCTCATAGCTACTGAAAAAAGCATAAAATCAAAGCAGATAGCTTGAAATCGGCTTTTAAAGATTCAATCAATGGATCGTGTACCTAAATAAAATACGATTCACTCATTTGCTTATGAAATCCTACCTTATGATGTGATTATATATGTTGTTGTGCTCAACTTATGATGGTTTCACCAAAGCAGGTAGGCATCGCGATGTTTCGCCTATTTGTGAAGGTATTTGCATTCATTGAGCATCGACAGTCGCAGTCACATCACATCACATCACATCATATCACATCATAGCTAGGAATTAATCCCCTCACAGCTAGGAGCTAGTCACCATCTCACAGCGGGGAGACATGGTCGCAGACAGATTGCTGCAGCTCAGCTAGCTGAGGCCTGAGGTCATGTCACATAACAGCTGGTATGCTACAGTCACACCACAGCTTGGAGCTGCAGCCACATCATCATCACAGCTGGCAGTTTCATTCACATCACATCACAGCTGGCAGCTACTGTCACAGCACAGCTGTGAGCTGCAGCC